TGTCCAGCAATCACTGTGCGAGGGGCGGGGTACACCCTGGACGGGTCGCAAGTCCATCACAGGGCCACATAGAGACAAACGAGACAAACAACCATTCACTCTCTCACTCACACCTAGGGACAATTTAGAGTTACCAATCAGCCTAACATGCATGTTTTTGGTCTGTGGGAGGAAACCGGAGCACCCGGAGAAAACCCACGCATGCACGGAGAGAACATGCAAACTCCACCCAGAAAGGCCCCTGGACCGGGGTTTGAACCAAGGACCTGCGCGCTGAGAGGCAGCAGCTCTACCAGTTGCGCCACCGTGCTGCCCATATATATATATACATATATACATATATATATATATATGTTATGTACGTAACGTCCTGAAATATGACCTTGCAAGTATAAAATAATGGTTAAAAATCTTTACCTGCCCTGAGTTTTTTTTTTTTTTTGAGCAAACATCAGAGAATGAGATAATTTCTCCAACAGTTACATTGTCAGTCATTTGTTGCTTAAAGGAATAGTTTGGCTATTTAGAGGAAGGGTGGGCCAAGCGAGCTACAGCCCTGGTTGATGCTGAGGCAGAAGCTTGGATGTGGGAGGAGTTTGGTGAGGACTTGGATGTTGGGAGGTGGAAGAAATACTTGTTGGACCTTCTCAATCCCACCAACATATCTTCCATGGGGTAAACTGAGTTGGGGGACTTCTAAGTTGGTCTGTCCATAAGTTGGTCCGCTGTTGTTCGGTGTATTGTTTTTTCACTATTACTGACGCAGGTGTTTAGCGCATTTCTTAGTTTAGTGTATGTCTTAGTTCATATCTTAGATCTTATTACCGTTTTCTTTTACAACTTATACTTTTGTTGGATGTAATTGGGACCCTGCGTATACAGTTTCATTCCACCGCATGTACAACATGTGATGCGAATGACAATAAAGAAAACCTTGACCTTAACCATAACTGTGGCCGAGTTCACAGAGGTGGTGAAAAAGCTCCACAGTGGCAGGGCTCCGGGTGTGGATGAGATCTGCCCTTAGTTCTTCAAGGCTCTGGATGTTTATGGGGTTGTTTTGGTTGACACGCCTTTGAAACATCACGTGGACATCAGGCGTAGTGTTACTGGACTGGCAGACTGGGGTTCCCCTCTTAAAAAAGGGTGGAGGGTGTGTTCCATTACAGGGGCATCACTCGTCATAGCCTCCCCAGTAAGGGGGATACTGGAGAAGAAAATATGATCAATGGTCAAACTTCAGATTTAGGAGAAACAATGCAGGTTTCATCCTGGCTGTGGAACACTGGATCAGCTCTTTACCCTCACTAGGGTCCTCGGAGTTTGCCCAACCAGTCTACTTGTTTTGTGGACTTGGAGAAGGCATTCAGCCATGTTCTTCGAGGTATACTGTGGGGGGTTCTCCAAGAAAATGGAATTGGGGGTCTATTGCTACAAGTCATTCAGTCCCTATACAAGCGGTGCGAGAGTTTGGTTCCCAATGTCAGCAGTAAGTTGGACCCCTTCTCTGTCTCTGCTGTTTGCAGATGATGTTCCTCTGTTGGTGTCATTGTGCTGAGCTGCAAGGAGAAGCTCTCTGTTTACTGGATGGTCTACATCCAACCCTCACCTACATTCATTAACAATGGGTAGTGACCAAAAAAACAAGGGTTACAAGTGGTCAAACCACTGCACCACAGGTACAAACACCGAGGCAACATAACATCTATGATAGGAAATAAAGTTCTTACTTTTCCTTTACTGATTAAAACATTTGGTTGGTTTAAAAACCATTATAATAAAATGAGTGTTTCAAAATTGGTCTGTTTTATCATACTCAATACTCCATACTCAAAAAGGATGAAGGAGGTAATGATAATGAATGGATGGATGAATACTCCATTTTATCATACATTACTCCAGTTCTGGTCTCCCTTCACTGGCTCCCGGTTCACTTTTGAATTCATTTTAAAATCCTTCTGTATGTTTTTAAATCTCTGAACAGTTCTGCCCCCTATTATCTCGCTGATCTGCTGCAGCCATATGTCCCACAGTGCTTGTCAGCAGACCACATGCTTGTATTGGTTCCAGGCACTCATTTTAAGCTCAGAGGTGACAGGGCTTTCTCTGTTGCAGGTCCAAAACTGTGGAAAGAGTTATCTCTGCATGTCAGGCAGGCTCCCTCTATCACTGTTTTAAGTCTTGTTTGAAAACTCACTATTATTCCCTGGCTTTCAATCCTGTGTGAGTTGATTTTAACTTGTCTGTTTTCTATAATGTTAGTCATTTAGTTCTTAACTTTACTTCTGTGGCTCTACCAGTATGTAGTTTTTGCTGTGTCCTTTGCTAGTTTTGTTTCTGCTGTACAGCACTTAGGTTGGTCTTGTTGCTGTTTTTAAGTGCTTTATAAATAAAGTGGTATGGTATGGTATACTGGATATATTTAAGTTGTTTAAAAAGGTGCATATTGTTTCATTTAATTTTATCTTAATTTTCCTCTGCTCCATGAAGTTTCTTAAGGTCATACAAAAATTGTGTATCATTGTTTACATGAATAATTTTTTGTGCTCACTTGGCTCTTCTTTTCAGCTCGAAGGGATTCAACAAGCTCTTTGATGCTGAAGGGTTTCCCGACCAGGACCGTGATTCTCTGGAAGGACATCGTTAGTCAACTGTAATGTCTCACAACTACAAGCAATGATGCATCTGTGCTCTTACGTTGCCGGTCCGAGGAATGTAGGGCGTTGTATTTGGCAAAACATCACTCAGACCTGAAAAAGCAATGAAATGAACGGAAATCATGTTATTCCATTTCAGTAGGAACAAATTAAAACTATTTGTTCA